GTTTGGCGGTCTGGATTCAAACGCGTGTGAAATATGTATATTTGTCACAATAATCTCATTTGCAACACCGGGTAATTTTGGATACACAGCTCTTTCAGAGCCAGTCCATTGGAGAATCAGTACCACGATTCGATGTAGGTGGGTTAGGTGCTACTAATCGCAAAATGTGTGACCTGAGCGCCTTTTATCAAGTATTTCACAATAAGTAGTATATGAATAACTCGAGAAAATTTTCCTGGAAGCACACGACCTGTTTCGCGGTTCTTGCCACTCGTCAGGCAATACGTATTTTGTTTTCTTTTGTCACTTCATTCATATGCTTGTACCCAAGAAGTGCATCTTCGTCGCAATAAACCGGTCGTGTGCTTCCGTTTTCATCCTCCGAAGATGTTCCTAATAGTACGCAAAGCATTCTACCGGTCGACTTTATAGTCAGAAATCTACTCTATCCATTAACAGGAATGTCGTACACCGCAGGTAACCGTAATCTCTTACTTGACTGAGGGTATGATGATTCAAGAGCTACTTCGTGATCCTCTTCTACGTCGTTTCCGCGTGGTGATGTTGGACGAAGTGCACGAAAGATCATTGCAAACAGACATTCTTCTTGGATTGTTGAAAAAAGTGATGCGCAAACGACCCTATGATCTCCGTCTGGTTGTTTCTTCCGCCACATTGGACGCTAAAAAGTAAGTCAATCGTCACCTCTAGTTATCTATGCGTTTCCTCTCAGGCTTGCTAAGCTTTTTTGTGAACTAGACCCTCAACGTGTTGATGTACATGAGCGGTGGGATCAGATTAGGCGAGCAACACATTCCGCAGCGAATGTCACTTGTGGGTCCGGGCCTCAAGCCCGTCGGAGGCATTGAATATTTCATGAGTCAGTAGCCCTGATGGAGAAAGAGGCGACAAATTCCCTCTTGACAGGATCAAAACCGGGTTAGGTGGCATCTACAACGTCATCTCGCGAAGAGCCTCAAGGATTGTGGAAAGTGGTGGGAAACAATAGCTCATGAAATGGAAGTAGCAACTGCATTAGGTGATGATCAAAGACTGTTCCGACTGATACACAGTACGATAGGTCAGTGAACTCCAGTTAATGAAACATTTTGTGATGAAAAGGGACAAGCTATTCACAATAGGGATCAACGGCTTGATCATTGGACAGAATACTTCAGCGAACACTTCAGCTGGCCTGGCGCTAGCCAGATTGTTTCATCTGCAGCTAAAGCTCAGTGGGCAGTGACGTACGATTCCTCGGCAGAAGCAGAAGTTCGGTCTTGGACGGAAGAGCGTATTCCCTTCTGTTGGGGTGAATCACTCGTTCCCATTTTCAAGAAAGGATCTCGCAGCAANNTGCAAAAACCACCGCGGCATAAGTTTGATCCCGATCGTCACTAAGTGGTCTCCAAAACGAAGGTATCAGATGGACACTTGGAGAAAAGCTGTGCGATTTATAGTACGCTGATCACATCGTCTATCTGTTCGAATGTATGGCGGATGCGCAAAGTGCACTTGATAGACTAACAAGTGCTGTTGCCACATCCGCTATATGTTTTGCACCTCCAAAGTGCAAAGCCATGTTGCAAATCTGGGTGTTGCCTAGTCCCACCTTGAAACTAAATGGCCAGGAATTAGTTATAGTGGATTGCCTAGGTAGTTGTGCGATTCATGACGGTAGCGCCGCAAAAGAGATAACCGCCCGCACTCTCAAGGTTCGAGCAGCGTACGCTGGACTGAAACGAGCTGGGCGTAGACGCGACGTCGAAAGTCGTGTACATTGTTGTACCTTTCGTTCAGTTCTGCTTTATGGTTATGAGACCTTGAATTCCCTAGTAGAAGTGATCCATCGGCTAGAAGTTTTCCGTTCTCGGTGTTTACATATTCTAGCCCATGTGGGATAGAGTGAACGGGTTAGTAATCTGGAGGTAAACCGTCGCGTGTTTGGAAGTTTATCGGGGATAATTTTGCTAGCTCATCGAATTCAGATTCCTGGGCTTCGCTGGCTAGGGTCCGTATTGCGTATGCTCAGCTGTCGTCTGTCCCATCGCTGTTTATTCGCTGCAACGGCTCCG